CCAGTTTTTCTTGCTGAATTTTTCAAATGAAATCCTGAGAAGTTGTTTTCTAAGCAGCAACCGAAGGCTCCTCCTCTGTTTAGAAAGCAGCGACCTTCAGTTTAACCAAAGTCTCTGCTGTTCTCTTCATCCCACAGAGGTTTCCAGCATGGTTAACATCGAGTGGGATCAGCAGCATGGGAACCTTCACAAGATGAGCTATCAGGATGGAAACCTGCTGGTGTTGGAATCAGGCCTGTACTACGTTTACGCCAAGACCTGCTTCCGCTATTACAACATCCAGGATGAGGGCCGCGAGGCCCGGACGCACGCGCCGGACGTCAGCAACGCCCAGCTCATCCAGTACGTCAAACACAAGAGCATCAAACAGAACAACAGGAACGTGCTGCTGATGAAGACGGGCAGCACCAAGCAGTGGAACAACATGAGTTATAACATGTACTGCGCCCAGCAGAGCCGCGTGGTTCGCCTGGTTGAGGGAGACGCCTTGTTTGTCGAAGTGTCGAATGCTTGGATGCTGGACCAGGAGGCAGAAGGGACGTATTTTGGGGCCATAAAGTGGGGTAACTGAAACTCTGTCACAGGTGGAGCAAACATGCTACTGAACATTTTTTCTATCTGATGGAACCACTTTAAAGGACGTTGAATTCTTAAACCGATGATTTTGTTCTTTTTTTTTAACTCTGCACGTGTGTTTTGGTTTTATGTCACACTGACCTTCATCAAAGAGCTTTGGAGTCTTCCATCAGGCCAACTAACAGAGGGAGCTAACCACCTGTTGCCTGAAAGCGTACCTGCTCACTTTCCCACAGAGATTCTGATTAACCAGAAATAGCACTGGAGTGTTTGTGATTTTTATGCGAATCCAGTCTGGTTCAGATGGTTCACACCTGCAGGGTAACCAGTCGGTGTGCGTATACACTAGTAATACACAGACATGAGGGAAGGAGTGAGACGGCGAGGACGGATTAATCGGCGTTTAGAGTTAGGAAAGAAAAACACTGAGAGCGCGCACCTGCTCACGATCAGAGAGTCATTAGACGAGTCTCACCTGCTCACGATCAGAGAGTCATTAGACGAGTCTCACCTGCTCACGATCAGAGTCATTAGACGAGTCTCACTGAGTCTGCCAGAATAAATTTGAATCAATGAAAACGTGAAAACATGGGAACATACTACATTGGCAGATATGATAGAGAATGTGCAGCTTAAGAGTGCTGGGGGGGTCGCAGGGATAGATCCGGCTCGCTCAGTCAACAGATGCTGCTCAGAACCAGACCTCCCAGCTGTTAATTCAGTTTCTATTCAGTTTATTTCTATAGCTCCAATTCACATCATGTCATCTCAGGTCACTTTCCAGTTCACCAGATCATCCAGTCAGATTGATTCAAAGTTTTCTATCTAAGGAAAACCAGCTGATTGCATCGACTCATTGACTCTTCAGCAATCCCTCACACTAAGCATGCTTGTAGCGACAGTGGAGAGGAAAAACTCCCTTTGAACAGGAAGAAACCTCCAGCAGAACCAGGCTCAGTGTGAGCGGCCATCTGCTGAGGCCCACTGGGGTTCAAGGAGACAGAAGCAGACGTAGAAAAAGAAGCATAGATACAAAAGGCAACTGTCAACCAGCTCCACAGGCGGCCCCGTCCAGGAAACACACAGCCAGGCAGACGAGCTCCGAGCCAGCTCCCATGTCAGAGGATGAAGAGAGCACATCCAGTTAGTCACAGTCAGAGAAACAGGACTACACTGGAAAACAGGCCAAGCTCCAACATCTAGAAACAAAGGTGTATAGAGATTGAACTAACAGATTCTGCAGAGTCAGAGAATAGAGATAGAATGATGAAAAAGGGGTCCCTATGTCCTCCAGTAGTCTAAGCCTATAGCAGCAGAACTATAGAGATAGATCAGGATAACCTGAGCCACTCTAACTAGAAGCTTTATCAAAAAGGAAAGTTTTAAGCCTAGCCTTAAAAGTAGACAGTTTACAGTAGTAGAAATTAGAATTTTCCCCACTTTCCTTTATGGGTCCTCGGCTGGCCCCCTACAATTCCTTACTAAACATCTAAAATATTCTTTCTGTCATGATTTGTGGACATTAAGATCTAAAGAGAAGCATCATCTCCTGGTCAGACCCTGTAATTCAGTGAAACGGTGGAGTAAAAAATATGCAAGAGGGGGTGACTCCAGTGAGCTGCTTTGATTCCCGGCCGGGGGTCTCTCCCTGAGCATGCATGGATTCTCTCTGGGTACTCCGGCTTCCTCCCACAGTCCAAAAACATGACTGTTAGGTTAACTGGCTTCTCTAAATTCTCCTTAGGTGTGAGTGTGTGTGAATAGTTTTTGTCTCTGTTGCCCTGCGATGGACTGGAGACCTCGCCTCTCACCTGTAGACAGCTAGAGATAAGCACTAGCATCCTTCGCCACCCCGCTTGGGATAAGCGTGACAGAAAATGGATGGATGGGTCGCTCCAGTGGCTGGAGGTTTGGGGGAATTCGGCTGGTTTTTGGCTGGGAAGGGCCATTTTGAATGTTTGCTACTGTACCCCCAAATACATCTTCAGTTCAGGTTAAGTTTATGGATCTAAAGAAGACGATGATGAAGATGACGAGCTTCAGCTTCAGCCGCTGCTGGGATCTGTTTAGCTTTCCAACCAAAGGTTCCTTCAGCCTTTCCTCTAACCGAGCCTGATCAAACGCTGGTGTTTCCTCCAAAGACTCGTCCTGTTTTCCATCTAAAAATCAACCTGACAAAGTCATAGAAAGAGGAAATGACTCCTGCTTGTTTTCATTTTGCCAACCGAGAAGCGATAAAGATAGCTGGACTGTCTGACCGTAAAGGACAAAGGCGGACTCTGTCCGTAACAAGCTGCTTTTGGTTCAGCTTTTAACTTAAATTGAATTTTTTTTTTCATTTAACTCGACAATGAGGTGAATGGGAATATGCATTTAATATTTATTTATTAGCTACAGAGGTACAGAGAGGTCATTGTTAAAGTGATCAGCTGTAAAATCCTGTACATATCGTGTCTGTCTGACATTCATTATGCAGCACTTAAAGTTAACATTAGACACACTTTTGTTTTTTTAAACACAGGGGCTTAATTTCAAATTATATATTTATGTATCTTGATTTTTTTTTTGACCATTCTGTGTACATGCCTTACAAAAAGACACATGGATATATTTGTTCTAAAAGACCGTAGCATACCTGTAAAAGCTTTGTTGATAGTTTTTTTTTCCACCTCCTGTTTTATTATTTATGTTTGTTTATGTTTTAATAAAAACCTACTTTTGTAGCAGCGGCTGAAGTGTGTGGTTTTTTCAAGGATCAAACCACACAGGAATGTAACCTCCTTGGAAAAGAGTTTAGAGAAATTAAAGGTTTTTTCTCAGCTATAAATTATATAATAATGAAAAATTATTTAATTTAACAAAGGAAACATTGCTGAAGTACGATGGAGTATTAGGGCCAGGCTAGAGATTATTTTTCTTCTATTTCGAGAATAAAGTCGTAACAATACGAGAATCAATTCGTAACATTATGAGAATAAGTTGTAATATGAATAAAGTCATCATTCAACAACCAGCTTCAGAAAGAAAGCTTGTAGCTCCGCCCACCAGATTACAGCCGACCAGCTCCACCAATCAGCAACCAGAGTCCACTTTGACATCCTGCCCAGTTTGATGCTGCTGCTAAAAGATTTCCTGATTTGTCAAACTGATGCTAAATTATAACTTCACATGATGCTCCACATTCCTCATTTTAGGGAAGAAAATGTTTCTTGGAAGAGTTGTCATAAAATATAACTTTATTCTCATAACATTAAGACTTTATTTTCATAATTATACGACTTTGTTCTTGTAGGGAGTTTTTTCTCGTAATATTACGACTTAATTCTCGTAATCCTATGACTTAAGTCTTGTAATTTTATGACTTTATCCTCGAAATAGAAGAAAAAAAAGTCTCTAGCCTGGCCCTAATACTCCGTCGTACTAAAGACCTGCATCAGGAGGACAAATGTAATTTTCTCTTTTGTATCAGTTTTATTTCCAGGATTTATATCCGCTATGATAACTCAATCAAATCGAATGCTTAGGTTTCTACTTTTCTAAATGTAAGTCATTAAATGTGAAAAATGTATGATTGATAAGCATATAACATCTAATGGTTCTGCTTTGGTGTTTTTCCTCTGTTTGGCAAACAAACCTTCATGTTCACTACCGCCACCATCTGGTAGGGAGTGCTATAACTTCATCAGCGTTTGTAAATTTGTACGTGTAGATTTGGCATTCATTCTAGATTTGCAAAACTTTAGAACATGTAAACTTTTATGGAGATGAAACAAAGACAAATATTACATTCATTTAATTCAATTCAGTTTATTTCTATAGCTTCATTTCACAACACATGTCATCTCAAGGCACTTTACAGTTCACCAGATCATCCAGTCAGATTGTTTTTTTTATCAAAGAAAAACCAGTAGATTGCATCGACCCATTAACTCAAAGGCAATCCCTCATACTAAGCATGCTTGTAGCGACAGTGGAGAGGAAAAACACCCTTTGAAGAGGATGAAACCTCCAGCAGAACCAGGCTCAGTGTGAGCGGCCATCTGCTGAGGCCGACGGGGGTTCAAGGAAACAGAAGCAGACATAGAAACGTCGTCTCCTTTTCTTTTTAGGGCTTTTATCACCTAAATTGCCCAAAAATCCAAGGCAGCGCGTTTCACTCTAGTGAGCTTCATCTTCCTCTTCTACTGGTTTGGTTTCCAGATAGACGAGTCCGAATAGCGCCATCTCACTGCAGAGCTGAGTCCCATCTGGATTTTAGCAGTGGCGCCTGGCCAATAGAGGGTGCTAGGGCGCCGTCCCAACCACCCAATTATTCTGATTAAGACAAAGAATAAAAAAAAAATGATTAAAGTTTAATTTAAAATTTCAAAAAAATCTTTGGCCATTGACTCTTATTAAAGAGTCTTAGCTCCTCTGCAATACAGAAGGATAGGAGAGCTGCACCCTGAGGTGACGGGAAGTGTATTTGCTCACCATCTCCCGCCACAGTGCAGTTAGCCTAGCTCCAAGGCTAGGCTAACTGCATGCAGCGAGGCTAAAGCTTTATCCTGCTTTTCCTGCCTCTTTTTTCAAAGGTCAGGATCTGAGCCAGCATGGATAAAGGCAGCTAGGACTGATTTAAAGAACTCTTTAGAAAAGAAAAATGAACAATCTGGGATTCACATGGAAAATAATAGAATATAATCTATTTTTTCTAGTTTTTTTTTTTTTTTTGCATAGTTGCTCTTAAATAAACACATTCTCAGATAATAAGTAGTTTTTATATATTAAAAAAATATAAAGCTGACTAATTGCTTCTCCATTATTAAACTGGAACAATATTTTTTTAGGTTTGTGACACAATATTGGACAAAACAGAGATCTACCTTCACAGCCTCAGAAGGACAAGATTTAGAAAAAAACAATAAACCTGGACATGAAATAAACTTATGTTTTTATAATGCTTTTTGTGTCAGGGTTCCTGTGTGTGGGTTAGTGTGAGTTGTGCATCTCTACCATAGAGGATCTTTGTGGAGAACTTGGATAGCCTACACAGGTGAAAATGATCTTTATAATCACAGTATTGGGCTTTAAAGAGCACCAGAGCCTTCATCCAGGGCTGGTTTCTTGTGTGTTGTAGTGTCTAGCCTCAACATTTTCCCTGATGTTATGTTTTTCAGTATTTTTGTATTTTTAGCTCTGTTCCCCTTGGACTTTTTATTAAACCATCCAAACTCAGCGTGCCTACTCCTCTCTGCATTTGGGTCCTCAAAACCTGACATTTTGTTGTTGGCATTCATACAAATATACTGGTGTTATAACTTAGTATACGTTTGATTGGTTTTTAGTATAACTCTGTTTTGAAATTATAGCCCCCACCTGGAGAAAAGCCGCTGCTGGTTTTTAGTGTGAGCAGGTAGATGGCATCAGAGCCTCGGGTCGCACAGAGTGAGAAGAAACATGGTGAGCTGTGAACCTTTGAACGCTGC